CATGTGCTTTGGCGTCAGGAAGTTTCTGTGGAGACCTGTGCTAGTTCCTTTTCTCACAGCTGTGATGAAATACCTGGCAAAAGCATCGTAAGGAAGGACAGCTCTTTCTGGCTGCTAGTTCAAGGGTATGGTCCATTATGTCAGGGAAGGAAGAATGAAGGTCTCATTGCACTGTAGTCAGGAAGCAGAGAGATAAACACTGGAACTCTGACAAAAGGGATTTCTCCCACCTCAGTAAGCTCAGTCTAGAAATTCCCTCACAGATGTGGCTAGTGAGTTGTCTCCTAGGGAGTTCTAAATTTTGCCAAGTTGACAGTATTAATCATCACAGCCCATCTTTGTTATCAACTAGCTGTGTGGTCAGGTGCAAGTGTCTTAACCTCTATGACCCTCCTCCAGTCCCTCAACTTTTACCACATATCATTAGGTTGTCATAAGAGTTAAAAGTACCTAAGATGGTGTCCAGCAGATCACAAGAACTGAAGCATCGGTAGTTATTGCTGTTATAATTTGATGAATATTATTCCTAATAATCACTGTTGTAATGATCTGGGGCTCCTAACATGGTAGACAGATTTCTCCATCTTGAGGTCCTAATGAAGAAGCACTGACTCAGATCCCAGGCAGGAGTGACAGTACCTTGGGGGCTGTCACCTTCCTGGGTAGGTGGGCTTGTCTTGGCTCCTCTGCCTTTACCCGCTTAACTGTAGCTGGCCGTTAGTGCCTCCGGCACCAATGTCTGAGACTGGCTGAAATTCCAAGTTCATCCCCAACCCTGCTAGGAGGAAGGCTGTGTGTGTTACATGCAAATGACCCAGCTCACCCCATGGACAACCCAAAGTATGGCCCAATGCCCCTGGAGTGGATTTTTAGTAGCAGAGGAAAATATTTTAAACTAGGAACAGTAGCCCCCACCATCCAGCCAACCGCAACACACACATCTGGGACAGACAGAACTGAATGAGTTATAGTCCTGCTTATGGCTGGTGATGCTGTATCAATGCTTGTCCTTTGTGTCTTGGCCCATCCCTTTGCCTTTCCATAGGTATCGGAGACCTGTGATGCTGTGTTTGTGTCTGGCCAGGAGAGCCAGGGTGCCAAGGGGGTGCGGGTGGACTTCTGGTGGCGCAGACTGAGGGCTTCACTGAAGCTGACTGTATGGGCCCCACTTCTGCCCTTGCGCATTGAGCTGACTGACACCACTCTGGAGCAAATCCGAGGCTGGAGGGTCCCAGGCCCATCAGAAGGGTGAGTTCAGGCCAGAAGGAGCCCATAGGACTCCGTGATTTCTTCTGGGACTGAGGGTACACAGCAGATATCTCTGTGGACCAAGGCTAGGGTCAGAAACACTGCTCACTGCTCACAGCCTGTATTAATTGCTTTCCATGTTGCCATGACAAAATGGTTGACAAAAGAAACTTAAGAAACACAGTGTTTATTCTGGCTCATGCTTCGAAGCACAACCCATTATAGTGGGGCAGTCAATAGCGGCAGGAGTTTAGACAGCTGGACAGGCCACACTGCTTCCAAAGTCAGGAAGCAGAGAGACAGATGGATGCTGGTACTCAGCTTACTTTCTCCTTTTAGTCAGTAGCGGGACTACAGCCGGTGAGGTGGTACCGACCGTAGTTAGGGTGGACCTTCCCACCTCGGTTTACCCTGATTGAAGAGCTACCTCACCACCTCACCGTCAGGCCCAGAGATTTACCTTCTAGGTTTTATCAAGCTGACAATGTTAGCCATCAGCTCATCTTTGACTTCCAGAACCCTGACCACTGTGGTGTGCTCTAGCAACCACCACGCTCCCTCTCCCCTGCTTCCTAGTCTGCTATGGCACATAGAAATTCTTTTTGCTTGGTTTTCTGTGCATCCTTCTCCCATTCTACACTCCATCCCTGAAAATGTGCACTACTGTACCTCGAAGCCCTGAATGGCCCCAAGCTCCATAAAAACCAACTACCCCGGAGAGTGGGGAGGCTCACCAGAACCCGAGGGCAAAGATGAAGTGTCTGGGCCACTGGAAGGAATGTAGCTCTTAGGCTCCGCAGAAACTGAGTTGTCAATCCCATTTCCTTGTTACCTTCCCACTCCAGGGTTATCCAGAAACAGGTGCAGTCAACTGGATAGGCACATTTCATCAGTCAGGACTGGGGGCTGGGCATCCCTGACCTGAGCAGAAAGACTTGACAGCCAGAGATGAGGGTATTCAGGACAGAATTTGAAGAACAAGAGGCATATACTAGTGAGACGACTCTTGTTACTATCATTGTTTTGTCATTTGTGCAAGCTGAGGCAGGAGCTGGGGCATGAAGCTTCCGTCTAGAACCTCAAGATGTGTGGCTGGGCCCGGCCTTGTTGAGTTTGGAGTTTGGGGAAGGAGTAGATTCCCAGCGGGCGGGGCTCCTCACTGACATCCTGCCCCACAGGCAGTCGGAGCCTGAAGCTGCAGCTGAAGAAGCTGAGCGGCGCTCCCGGGGCTGCCGCCTGCAGTACCAGAGAGCTGGTGTGCGCTTCCTGGTGCCCTTTGCGGCTCACCCGCAGGACGGTGGCCGCCACCTCACTCACCTGCTCGGCCCTGATTGGATGCTGGATGTGAGTCACCTCGTGGCAGCCCACGCCCATGTGCAAGATCCTCGAATAGCCTCCTTGGAAGGCGGCCGCATCCTAGTGGGACAGGAGCCTGGAGTCACCTCTATCGAGGTGAGCCACCACAGGGGGCGCTAAAGAGCGAGACTCCGCCCCCTCCCCTCAGGGTGCTGGTGTTCCCAGAATGTTTCTGGCTCACGGTGAAGGCTGCAGAAGAGGCTTACACTGTGGCTGGGAAGAATAGGTGGGCAGTCTAGGAGGGAGAGGAGACCGAGAATGAGGTTCACTGTAGGAAATGCTGTACTGTGAAGGGTTAGGGTCTAAGTGTGTAGAAACCACCTCCGGAAAAGGTGCTGTTCTCTGCTGTGGATTTGGAGTCTGTGAGTGTATTAGAGTGTAGAGGCGTGATGCTGGGAGCCAAGGAAGGATACTTGGGGGGAGACATCCCCCTCACCCCACATTTGCATCTGCTCCCCACTCTCAGGTGCGTTCCCCACTCTCTGACTCCATCCTGGGGGAGCAGGCACTGGCCGTGACAGATGACAAGGTCTCGGTGCTGGAGCTTCGGGTGCAGCCAGTGATGGGCATCGCACTGTCCCTGAGTCGGGGCGCGTCCCACCCTGGGGAGGTCACAGCCATGTGCTGGGCCCAGTCATCTCTTCCAGCCCCAAAGCAGGTGATGGCTGGGGGTGAGGGAGCATGGTCAGCTGCTATTGATGGGGGCTGATGGTGGAAGGAATGGGAGGAAGTGGGTCCTGGTACTTGGACCCCTTGCTCTAGGGTTTTCAAAACAAGGACTGCTTCCCTCTGAGGAAGTGAGTTCTCTGTGGCTGGCTGGAGTATGTCGTTGGGAGGTTCATTAGGCTCTCCTGACTCCTGGGCTGAGTGGCAGCCAGGTGATTGACACGCATCCCCTCTCTCCCTGTGTTTTGTCCATTTGCCTGTGTCTCTGTTTCCTCCGTGCTCTTTCTTCCGTGTGGCCTGTCACTGTGGGAGTGGTCTGTGTGTGCATGCGTGCGTGCGTGCCCGCCCTCGCGTGTCTCTGCCTGTGTCTGTGTGCCCTGCAGGAGGTGGCCCTCTCCCTGTGGCTGTCCTTCTCTGACCACACTTTGGCCCCTGCTGAGCTCTACGACCGCAGTGACCTGGGACTGTCTGTCTCAGCTGAGGAGCCCAGTGCTGTCCTGCCTGCTGAAGAGCAGGGAGCCCAACTTGGTGTGGTGGTGAGTGGGGTGGGGGCCGGAGGGCTACCCCTACATGTGGCTCTGCACCCACCGGAACCTTGTCGCCGGGGCCGCCATCGCGTTCCCCTGGCCTCAGGCACCGCCTGGCTGGGGCTGCCCCCACTGCCCACACCAGCCCCCGCCCTCCCATCCAGCCCTGCCCGGAGTCCACCACTCACAGAAGCCACTGTGGGGGGAAAGCGGCAGCTATCGGGTGGTATGGGGGCCCACGTGGATGTTAGGGGCAAGTTTGAGCGGGCAGAAGAAGTTGGGATGGAAGAGGATGAGGCCAAAGAAGAGGAGGAAGATGAGGAAGAGATGGTGCCTGCTCCTCAGCGTATCACCAACCTAGAGCTGGGAATGTATGCTCTGCTGGGCGTCTTCTGCCTGGCTATCCTCATCTTCCTGGTCAATGGCGTGGTCTTCGTGTTGCGCTACCAGCGCAAAGAGCCTCCCGACAGCGCTACGGACCCTGCCTCCCCCCAGCCCCATAACTGGGTCTGGCTGGGAACCAATCAGGAGGAACTGAGTCGTCAGCTGGACCGTTGCTCCCCCCCGGGCCCACCCAAGGAGGAGGGAGGCTGCCCCTGTGAAAGTGGGGCTGCAGGGGACGCCCCAGCTGTGGCTCCCAGTGCTTCAGAGGGCACTGCTGGCTCCTCGAGTACCCTGGCCCGCAAAGACGCTGGGGGGCGTCGGAAGCGAGTAGAGTTTGTGACGTTTGCGCCAGCACCCCCATTCCAGCTGCCCGAGGAACCTGTAGGGGCCCCGGCTGTACAGTCCATCCTGGTGGCAGGCGAGGAGGACATCCGCTGGGTGTGCGAGGACATGGGGCTAAAGGACCCGGAGGAGCTTCGAAACTACATGGAGAGGATCCGAGGCAGCTCCTGACTACTTCGCGGCCAGCCAGGTGCAGCTTTGGCCACCAGCTCAGGCACTGGGACCAGTAGGATGTCTGGCTGGACTTCTTGCCTGGCCCACATGCTCATCTTCTGGTGCTTGTTGATTTGAGTCCCCTGCTGGGTCCCAACCCAGGTCCCTTCCACCCCACTCCTTGTTGTGGACTATGGTCAAGAGGGAGGGCGCATGCCCCTTATTTGTGGGAACCATTTCATTCTAATGCTGGGTACAGAATAAATGAGAAGAGAATGGGCACAGCTGGCGGCGCTGTGACATTGTCTGTCTGGGTGGGCGGAGATCAGTTCAGCCCCTGACCCTGCTGGATGAGCTCTGGGAGGCCGGATCGTGTCGAGTCCTCTCATAGCGACCAGCAATCCAGAGAAACAGGATGGCTGTGACAGCCTGAATGCCAGCCAGCAGGAAGAAGTAAAGGTCCATCCGGCAGTTGTTGATGTTCCCTGGGAACAGGAGGGCTGGCTTGTGGGTGGGAAGGGACTCTTGGGCTAGCAGCTAAATCTGCATACCAGTCGTATGGTCTGAATAGTGTGTGCATGTGGTAGAGAGCCCTCGGGTATCTTAATCCCCCAAGTGTTTCTGGTGTGTCTTCCATTCCTCTATTCGGAGGCTTGAAGCAAACACCAGGCAAAAAAATGTGACTAATCAACAGTGATGGCTGAGCTCCAGAAACAGGAAGGTGCCTCCCCGAGGGCCACTGAGTCTAAAGCATGACTGCTCTTCACATCCCTAAGCCTCCCTCCATCCCTGTCTTTTCCTTGGAAGGATCCCCTCTCACTCACCAAAGTCCTTGGGACAGTACATCCAGCCTCCTGGAAAGGAGAGTAAGGCCACCAGGCCAGAGCCCAGCAGTGACCCTACCCCCGAAAGGCAGAAGAAGATGCCCATGATTGCACCCTGCATGGAGCGTGGGGCTTCTGAGTAGGCAAACTCCAGACCTGTTGGGGAGAGAGGGAAGGGGCTTGAGCTCCAGGAGGAGCAGAGATGGGGCCTGATGGCAGCCTCCCACTGGGGGAATCACACTCTTCCAAGCCTTTATCCTAATTCCCTTGGATGGCTGTGCTCTCACGGTTGACAGCACAGGCATACCCGAGACATGATGAGCTTTAGTGGCCCTGCTTGTCCACGCTTGAAGGAGCATATCTCTGGACACCATAAACACTACTCATCGGACCCGCTGTGACTTTCCTCTCCACACTCCTCTCCAGGGCCATCCCCTCACTCCACACCGTGCTTGGCTCATGCTGTTTCCTTCCCACACTTGCTGACTTCAGCTTTCCCAGAGGCCCGTCTTGTCCCTCCCCACTTGACCCATAGCCCAGCCACACTCTACAGTCCCCAGTCCAGCACTGATTGTTTTGTTTTGTTTTGTTTGTAACTTAAGTTCGAAGTTTTATCAGGACCTAGAATTTCCACCATGGCCTAGTGGAAGAGTCTGCCCAATGCTTACAGTTCTGGTTCCTTGATCAGGCTGGGACACACACACACACACATTATAGGACACAAAGTTGAGTTCTAGAAGGGAGGAGCCCCCAACCTAAGGGCTTATTGAGGGAAGAGGCAGACTTCGAAGGCAAAAGGTGGACAGAGTCCATGGCAAAGGGCATGTATGGGAAATGCCTTTTTAAGCTTCACCTCCTCGGGGTCTGTTGTAGTGGCTGGCTCAAGCCTAGAAAGTGCTTCAAACCTCACTGGAGCCCATGCAGACTCAAGGCCTCCTTCACACAGAAGCCAGAGGGCTGTGCCCGTGTGTCGGAAGGTACACACCCAAGCAGAACCCAGCACCAGTGTAAGAGCTGGGGAGGGAATCCAGGGTACCTGGGATGCTGGTAAAAATCTCACTGACCCCGATGAGCAGGTACTGGGGGATTTGCCACCAGATAGACAGTGGCGCCGCGTAGTACAAGTCGTGCCCAATCACCTGAGGCACCGTCTGGTTGGCAGCGATGTACTGCAAGCGTTCTTTCTCCAGGACTCCTGGGGGGTGGGAACAAGAGTGCAGTCAGACCTCCCAAGGCAGCAGTTTAGAGCTTCAGTTCCATCTCTTTTTGGGGGGGAGGGGGGAATGCCCTTGGCTGCTAGGTTTTGTGTTTCGTAGGAGTTCTCATTAATCCAGTCTGTTAGGGCATTCTTTGCAAATGAAGAGAGTGAAACTTAGATTGAGCAATCAGCCCAGAACCACACAGGTGATAAGCAGTTAGGGCTGAATCTTAGTCCCAGTATATCTGGTTTTCAGGTTGGCCTGCTTTCCGAGGGATCACATGACTCCTCGAGTGCAATGTTAGGTATTATGGCGTTTTTCCCAGCCTGGATTTTATGTTTATTGTCTTCTTCCCTTCAGTGTTTGGAAGACACCTTTGCCCTGGTGAAGGAATCACAATCAGGTGGGGGACTTGCAGTATCATCCTGGCTCTTCCACTGGCTTGTTGTGCAACCTGGGCAAATCACCTAACCCTGTGGAGACTCTATCCCCTTACCCCAGAAGCAATAAAATCCCTGGGATTACTGAGGATGAATAGGACAAAATGCTGTAAGGAATGTAGCCATAAAAGAAGACAGTTTCTGTTGCACATGATCAACAAGACAGTGCTCGCTTAGCTTCAATTTCTTCAGCCCCCTATTTTTTTCATTGTTTTCAGACAGTCTCATGCAGCCCCCATTGGCCTTGAACTCCTGATCTTTTTGAGTGCCGAGGGCTACAACTGCACACCACCAAATGACTTTCACTCCATTATACTATGTGTCTTGAGGGCAGACCTCTCACCCAAGGTGGAATGAACTTGATGTCTCACACACCTGCCACAATGATGGACGTGAACCCAAAGAACATGCCCAGGGCCATCTTCCGCAGAGCTGAGGGCGGTAGCCTCCACCGCAGCAGTAGAGGGTCAATCACGTGGTCCTTGACAGGGACCAGAATCAACACCACCACAACGCTGGCCAGCAGGAGCCAGGCTTCTGGGATCTAGGTGGGAGAGGTCCAGGAGAGGTAAGCTGACAGAACAGAAAGAGCTCTGGGCTGGACAATATCCCTCGGGCTAGTGGCCTTGTCCCACCCCCATCACCCATGGAACTCAGCCTTCTCAACTGTGTAACTAGGGGACAGGGAAACAAAAAAGTTCTTCCTAGACACAACAATTCCATCATGAGCACAGCATGGAAATGGTCCCAGGACAATAGGTGTGAAGGCAGTGTTGAACAGGAATGTTCAAACTGGGGGTGCAAAATGGGTGGTGAGCAGTAGCATGGGGTGGGGACAGCTGGCCAGGTGTCCTGTGGGCAGCTGACCATGCTGAGAGAGGGGCAGGGTGTTGCATGCATCCCCCCCCCACCCTGCAGGTGCTTCTCTTGTGTCCTAAGCGTGCTGCCTCACTGAGGAGTAGGGGAGACACAGGCAGCCCCATTTCCTCCTATTCACACAGGTGTAGATTCTCATAGCCCCAGCCTGGCTGAGGCTGATCACACACTCTCTTACCCTGTAGTTGCTGCTAGCTGATCTCAGAGATAGAGAGCTATTGTTAGGGTTGGTCCTGAAGATGTTGGGGATATGGAGGTGGAGACCTTGAAGGACATAGGTGGACTGCATCTGTGGAGAGATGGAGGCAGGTTAGGGTGGGGCTGGCCATTGGACCTCTGGCTCCAAGATGCTTTGGGGCAGGCGTTCCTCAAGTCAGGAAAAGGTACCCCAACCCACTTCTCTTTGAGAGGCAGCCTTGGGGATGGGAGCCTCTGATGTTCTCGGGCCATGAGCAGTGCCCAGAGCCTAACCACAGCTGCTCAGATGCCCGTCACATTTGTGTGTCCCGGTCTTTCACAGGGCGGGTATGAGTAGGTAAACATTTATTGAAATGGGGAATGTCATGACAGCTGGGAGTTGCGGTCCGACACTGAAGCCAACCTGAGTCCCAATGGTTGGAGAGGTACTGATCTGCCAGCACAGCTTTGGGCACAGCTGCTGGAAGAAACGGGTTTGGTGACCCCGCCCCTTCCTATACCAGACATTGGCAGTCTAGCTGCCTTGAAGTGCAGGGGTTCCAGGAGACTCCTGGAAGAGGGGCGCTCTGGGGTCACATGGAGCAGCAGCCACTTGTCAGCCTCTGTGGAAAAATGTCAGTATCCTGACAGCTGGTAAGGGCGACTTCCCCACGTCCCCGGATAATGTGGGACACTCTGTGCCACCCTAGACTAGCAGGCTACGACCCTATCTTAGGTTCTCTCCAGTGAAGAGGGGAGGGCGTGGGAAGCAATGGCCTTGTTATTTTGGGGTTAGGGATGGATTAGGCTGCTGCCCTGGCTCCACACTTGTGAAAGCACACGCACATATAGACCATGCACATACACACACTCACATGTATGGGGAGTCTATGTACACATGTGCAACGCATGGACATAGACGCATGTAGATGCCTGGATGCACTGAATGCACACACTCGAGTACACACCTCCCCTGGGAAGGTAATGCTGTGGGCTTCTACTGCAAGGACCATGAGGGGCTGGGCTGCCAGGCCCCTGCTCGGAAGGCAGGGGAGCCTACCTGGAAATACACCATCCAGTAAGGCACAAGGGTCACCATGACAGGCAGGAGCTTCACCAGCACCCGGAAGTTGTCCCTGTCTTCCTGTGGTGAAGCTCCTGGCTGCTGATACCTCTGGGCAGGCAATAGGTGGGCAGCTTCAGAGTCCCTGTAAGGCCACGGGGAGAGAGAGAAAAAAAGACAGCCACAACTTGACTCTGTCTAGGACCAAGGCCACAGTTTCTACCTCTATCACCCTCCTCCCAGGATCCCACTGGGAGTAGGCAGTGAGATGGCTCAGCTGGTAAGGGTACTTACCTTTAACCTGAATTTAATCCCCCAGGCCCACACAGTGGATGGAGAGAACCAATTCCCAGACCCTGGGGTATCCCAGCCAGTCCTTTCCTCCATTACACTGTTAAGACCACCAGCACCGACTTCATCATCCCCACTAGTGAGGTGACTGATGTCACCCAAGCTATCACAGGTGGCCATGAGAATTATCCTGATGGGTTTGGGAGTGGTAAAGCCAGAGCCAGAGGCTTTTATTTTCGTTTTTGACCCAGGGCATCCATTTACCATGAGAACCATGGAATTCCCAGAACAAATCTGACTCGGAGTCTGACACAGACTTGATGTACTCCAGCTCCCTTGTTGCTGACCCCAGGTCTATCCTCAGTGGACTAAACCGAGAGGTGGAGAGTGGAGAGGCAGAGATGGAAGGACCATCATTAGGAGACCAAATAGACTGACCACTGCTACAACCTTTACCCTTTGCCCTCAGGGTTTTTGAACTTTCTCATACAAAAGCCCTGAGCTGTCCTCTGAGACTCCAAAGGGAAATTGTCCAGCTGGTCTTCTTCAGGGACAGCTGCCATCAACTCCTCCCCGCCCAGCATTCCACAGTGTTGCCTGTTTCTCTTGCCAGATCCAAGCTGGCTTTGTGATGCTTTGATCAATAGGAAGAGGCAGATGCCACACTTTGCAAGTCTAAGCCTCTGTAACCCTTAAGAAGACCCACAGCTTCATCTACCTCCCACCTTCAGGAGCATTCCTTCTTAGAATGCTCTCTCTTCTCAAAGCCCAGACATCAACCCCAGGAAGTGCAAGCAACAGATGAGACCATGGGAAGGGGAAACTGAGGCTCTCACCATCACTCCCAGCTGAGCTCTGAGCTCAACATCTACTCCCACCATGTGAGAATGTTCTAGAATCCAGCCCTTTTAGAGCTCCCAAATGACCTGTTGATGCCAAGGGCACAGAAGACACGCCCCGCCTAACCCCAGTTACCCCGCAGCATCTGAGAGAGGATGAAAAGCTGGAGCTTGAGTTGGTAAGTTGCGGTGTGGCTTGTGAGGCAGTAAGAGCTAATTAAAACCACCAGACTCCTTGGCACATGTAACTTCACTAACTGACCTTCAGCCACCGAGCAGGCTGGGGAAAGCTGAGACTCTAGATCCCATCCCAGTTGGGTCTGGGTCCAGCCAGGAATTAGAGACAGATCTGCTTGGTATAAGTGGTCAGTTGTGCACAATAGAATTTTATTCAACCATAAAAGAGCAATGAAATTATGAAATCTGAGGGAAATGGATGGAATGAGAAAGTATCATATTAAATGAGGTAACCCAGGCCCAGAAAGACAAGTGCTGCCTGGTTTCATGTGTGGCTCCCAGCTGCCAACTGTTATGACATGCTTATATGTATGTGAGATTGTGTTTAGATGCTAGGAAACTAGAAATGAGCCAGGAGAGGAGACCAAAAGAGGCTTTAAGGGAACAGTTAGGAAGAGCAATAGAACAGAAGGGTACCATGAGGAGTGGGGGCAGGTAAGCGAATAGGGAAGGGTTAACAAAAAACTTAGGATGTATGAAAACGCCAGACTGAAACCTGTTATCTTGTATGCTAATTAAAAAAGAGATTGGAGGTTCAACAAGATGGCTCAATGGATTAAGACACTTGCCACCAAGTTTGACGACTTGAGTTTGGCCCATGGGTCCCCTTTGGGAGGAGAAAACTGATTCCCACAAGTTGTCCTATGATCTACACACACACACACACACACACACACACACACACACACACACACACACTCATTCACTCACTCACTCACACACTCACTAATTAAATAAATGAAGTTTTTAAAGGCCAATGAAAAGGACAAAAGTAGACTACCAAGCATTTCCAAGGACACTTGGAATCCTTTTCTCTTAGGTGTGTGCTCCTGAGGGAGTGACCATGGCAGGTGCTTTCTGAAGATCCTATAAACAGGGTTGTTTATTTTAGAGTAATTGTGATTAACTGTGGCTCCATCTTTGACCTTTGCTCTTTGACTTTTGTCCTGATAATACCCTAACCCTTTCTTGGCCAAGAGCATTGTGTCATCCTTTGAGACTCAAGAAAGGATAACACCTCTCCAAAGATTCAGATCATATCTCAGGTAACTTCATCATGTTACCTGACCATGCTGATTGTCACAATCAGCCCATTAGCAGTGTCTCATCAACATACCATCACTGCTGCCGAGACCACCACTGTCCTCTAGATTTCTTTTCTTTTCTTTTCTTTTCTTTTCTTTTCTTTTCTTTTCTTTAAATTGTGAATGTGTAGGTGTACGTATGTGTGTGTGTTGAGTTTATGTGCACAGGTTTCTTAGTTTTAACTGTCAACTTCTTCACACAGCTTAGAGTCACCTGAGAAGAGAGTCTCAACTAAGGCATTGTCCTATGGGAATATTTGTGTGTGTGTGTGTTTACTTTTTAAATTTATTTATTTTTTTTTGTATGTGCATTGGTGTTTAGCCTGCATGTATGTTTGTGTGAGGGTGTCAGCTTTTGGAGTTCGGAAAGTTGTGAGCTGCCATCTGGGTCCTGAGAATTGAACCAGGGTCCTCTGGAAAAGCAGTCAGTGCTCTTAACCATTGAGCCATCTCTCCTGCCCCCAGACATGGGAATGTTTGTGGGGAGTTGTTTTGATTTTTAATTTAATTGATATAGGACCCAGCCCACTGTGGTGGGCACCATTCCCTGGGCATGTGGTCCTGGGCTGTATAGAGCCAGCAAGAGCCTGGGCAATCCAGCAAGCAATATTCCTATATGATTTTTGTTTCAAGTTCCTGTCCTGACTTTCTTCAGTTATGGGCTGTAACCGGTAAGTGGAAATAAACCCTTTCCTCCTCTAAGTTGCTTTCTTCTTCTTTTGTTACGAAGACAGGGTTTCTCTGTGTAGCCTTGGCTGTCCTGGAGCTCAAATGCAGAGATCCACCTGCCTCTGCTTCCTGAGTGCTGGGATTACAGGGGCACACTACCAATGCTCAGTTTCTCTAAGTTTCTCTTGATCGTGGTGTTTGTCATAGCAACAGAATGAAGTTAGAACAGTATCTGTGCACTTTCTTGTGTAGGCTAGAGGTGACATTGACTCTCTTAATTCCTTTTCACCTATGAACATGCTTTTAAATTTGTGTGAGAGAGAGAAAGAGAGAGAGAGGTGAAAGAAAAATCTATAAGCACAAGTGCTCATGGAGACCAGAGGAGACCCATAGGGTCTTTTACTGAACCTGGGCCAGGCTGTAGACCAGCAAACCAGCGATCTTTCCCCACACCCCTAGTGCTGGGATTACAAGGGTGTGTGACCATGCCTCACTCTTCACATGGGTTCTGGGGTTCTAAATTCAGCTCCTCATGCTCATACAGCAAATACTTTATCAGCTAAGCCATCTCCCAAGCCAGTGTGTGTGCGCGCATGTATGTGTGTGTTTACACAGGTGCAAATGTGTGCATGTACACACAGAGGCCGGAGAATAACCCTGGGTCTCATTTCTAAGAATGCCGGCTGCCTTCTTTGAGATGATCTCATTTGGCCTGCAGCTCGTGAATTAGGGCAAGCTGGATGTTCGGCAAGTCCCAGGGTCTCACCTGTCTCTACCTCCCCGGTGCTGGGACTGTAGGTTTGTGCTACCATTTTGGGCACTTTCATGTTGGTACTGGGGGAGGGACTCAGGTCCTCCAAGTACTTGTAAGGCAGGCTCTTCACTGACTGGGCGATCCCCACAGCCTTGCCCTTATGATTTCTCATTAAAGAATCATTCTTAACAACACCGCCAACATCACCACCAGCACCCCTATTGTTTTCACCACCAGCACCCCCAATGTTTTCACTTTAACCTCCGTCCTCAGTCATAGTAGCTCCGGCCCACTTGCGGGCAGGTTCTCATTCAGTGACAACCCTGAAGCCAAAACAGAAGACCAACAAGTTGGATTTGGCTTCCCCCTTGCCCGTCCTTACCTGGAAGAAGGCCGGGGACAGCAGTTTTGGAATGCAAGCTTCAGCATAGATGACACTTGGCTGCCTGTTGGGGGTTTGGTGATGAAGACAGGGGTGGCAAGGAGAAAAATGAAGAATGCGAGGCCCACGAGGCCCACGATGATGCTGTAGCCCCAAAGGAAGCTGATGTTCTGCTCAATGAAGGCCACCACCAGCAGGGACAGTACGGCACCCAGGCTGATGCTCCAATAGAACCAGTTGAAGAAGCGGCGAGTGGCATCACGCCCAAGGTCCATCACCTGCCATTCAGCCAGGGATGAGAGTTAGGGAGGACCCAGGAGGTCCTCTGTACACACACATCCCACAGGGATGCTTCTGGAGTCAGCAAGCAAGTCCATGAGTAATCTCTGATGACCAAATATATGTTCAATAAACATCCAGTAAATGAGTAATGAACATACATTTTTCATGTGTGTGACGTACATACGTGTTCATGCATGTTTGTATGTATGTAGAAAACATATGTTCCAGGGGTGCTCAAGCACATGTGTAGGAGTACTTTTGGAGGTTTGAAACCTGATGTCAGGAATCATCCTCAATTGCTTGTCACCTTATTCAGTGAAGAAGGGTCTCTCAGTCAAACCCAGAGTTCACCAACACGGCTAGTCTCCTTAGCGAGGCTGTTCTGGGGATCCTATCTCTGCCTTTCAAGGCTGAAATTACAGGCAGGCCACCAGGTCCATTCTGTGTGGGTTCTGGAAATACCAACTCAGGTCTTCATGCTTGCACACTGAGCACGTTAACTGCTGAGCCATCTACCCCGTCCCTGTTTACACCCTTCTCATGAGAGCCAGTTAACGACTGAAACACTTTTACCCAGCTGATAGCATGTACTCATGACACACACGCACACACTGTGTTTTCATCGTCACTCACTAAGACATGCCACAAATGTCTTCAAAGCCATCTCGTTCACTTCTGGCTGACTTATTCCTTTGCCTTTGAACAGCCCACACTGTGCGTTAATCAGCAAAAGATCCATAAAGGACTACACTAGTAAACGTTTTGTATGCTTGCTACTGAAGGGTTAGACCGAGACTGGTTAAGAATTTTCTTTGCAGCTCAAGTTGCAAACTGAGTTATTGCATGGAAGTTTTTCCCTTCTGATGGGCCTCCCTCCCTCTGTGCACGGCCTAACGAAGCTGGAGTAGCAGCGGAGGTAGGTGGAAATGGCTCTAGACGCACAGCACTCAGAGTGGGCTCTGAGCTTATGAAAAAAAAATCTTTCACAGGCCCCTCAGCAAGGGTAGATCTTATCCCAGGACTTATGTCAATGTCGAGTAGATAGTCCACTTTGTCCTGCTGTCTCTGGCTGCTTCCCCATTCCCAGACCATGACCCCTAGATTCTACTTCTACAGCTCAGCAAGGAGGACCAGGCTCCTGAATTTCTAGGAGGCCGTAAGAACTGAGGGTCACTTTTCAAATGAATCTCTGCATTCTTGTTTGTGGTGTGTGCATTTGTGTTGAGACTTATATATGTGTACGCAAACATATATGTGTGTGAGTGTGTGCAAGTACGTTGATGTTTATACATGTGTGTCTACATGTGCCTGTGTATTTTTGTATATACATGTGTGCATACATGTGCATGCGGTTTACCTATGAGTGAGTGGGGTGACAACACTGGTGACTGGCACGTGTGTTCACAGTGTGCTTTTTACAGGACTGCCAGGATCCTCCCTCAGGCCCTCATGATTCCGTGGCGTATGCTCTTAGCCCTTTGCCTTCTACCTTCCATGCTGAAAGTCCAGCTTAGAGCCCCAAGCGTGCTACACACGTGCTCTATACCTGTATCTACATCTCCAGCCCTCTTTGGCTTTTATTTTGAAACAGATTTTCACTAAGTTCTGGAGACTGCTCTTGAACTCACTCTGTGGCTTATGCAGAACTTGCCATCCTCTTTCCTACACCTCCCAAGTAGCTGAGATTACAGGCCTGCCGTACCAGGTCTGAATAACAGCTGTGTTCCAATAACCACCAAATCTCAGAAGTCATCACTGTCCTTCTTCCAAACATGGAATACGTATTTTCACTCCCACACTTTCCGTGCAGTTATGCTGAGGAAGAGATAAATGTTTTTCTCCTTATCTAAACGTAGAGTTATAATCTGTACAGATGTGCTTAAAATTGCATTGCCTTGGGGATTCTTTAAGGTACCCTTGGAGGAGGAAGGAGGGGCACCACCATGTCAGCTTGCTGAGAATCCTTGTCTGGACCTTCAAGCAGAAAATTGAATATGCTCCATTCTGAACAGCTACCTCCATTTATTAATTGGAAATAAATACGTATGACAAGTGTAACTCGAAGGGAAAGGCCAGGCAGCCCATGCAGGAAATAAATGAGTCCTCCCAGAGCAAATGAATACCTTGTGGAGAATGATGGATTGCCCTTCCTGAAATCAGCAAGTGGGCTACATTCAAAGCTCCTAGGCATAGCTCTCTTCCAGATGGTGCCAGGCTCCCCATGTCCCTAGACGGACTACCTAACCTCCTGAATGCTGCAACAGCCTGTCTTGTGCTCTGGTACGCCCAATCCTGTGGTTCTGCCCATCTCTCCAATGCAGTAGAGCCATCTTTAAAGAACTTCAGTCCAATGACGTCTACCCTGCCTCCAGCCAGTGCGGTGTCTCTACACTTTCCTAGGGAGTGAGATACAAAGATAGCAAACATCACAGGGAGATGGGAAGGGAAAGGAGCCCCTCACCCCAGAGTCTTCTTTGAAGCCTATCTCACCGGCTGGTGAATCAAGAATCAAGAATTCCAGCACAATAATTTTGTTGTGATGGTTGCCAACGCAGAAACAATATTCATTTTGTACATAGCGATTTTGTGTTAAAAATAACAGTGGCTGGGCTGAAGAGACAACTTACCGAGTAAAGCTGTGAATGTCACAGCGCTGTGACCTGGCCTATGGGCAACCAGCTCTTTCATCAGAAGGAAAGAGAGAAGAGGTGCTTGGTGGCTGAGGCCCTTGGAGGGATGGTGGAAAGACCAGAGCACAGAGATGGTCTCCTCTAGGGAATTTTTCACAAGCTTGGTCCAGGAATCCCAGACTGCTACTGCCCTGCAACCTGAGCTTTGGTCAGGGCTTAGTTTTGATCAACACAAACTGCCCAGATTTGCATGGCTCTCGTTTGCATAGTCTATATTACCCAACTGGAAATTCTATATATAGCAGCTCATGCTGACTTCCCAGAACTGTACACTACCAATCTGGGCTGCCTTTCTTCGTGTCGTGCAAATCACATGCCAGGAAATGCCCACAAAGGGCCTCACTCTAACCAAGTGGAGGCCCACGCATCATTACCCCGTGCTGTAGGCGGCATGACAGCTACTTCCCAGCCAGCTGCACGCTCAGTAGCAATAAACTCTTTGTATTCTGTTTTGTAGGGTAAGTTTGTTAATTGCCTGCAAGCCCCCATGACAGCAGGTCACCCCTATCTACTCTGGGGTTTCAGGGAAGCTGGGAGTCGGTAAAGCAGTGGGGTGTCAAATCAAAGAGTAAAGTTAGTAGAAGGGGCACTCCTTTCAGCAAGTGTTGGGAATCTTCTGGTCAACACCATATGAGAGGAAGAGAAGGATACCTGAGGCCCAAGCTGTTCACAAATGCCCGTAACTCAAGCTCCAAAGGACCCAGTGCCCTCTGTTGACCTCTGCTACGCATCTGTTCACGTGTGTGCACATATACTTGCAAAGACACCTACATAAACGAATACGATGAATGCTAGTAAGAAGGGAAATCCTTAGCAAGGACTCCGGTCACTGGGAGGGGTGATGGGCTGTGGATGCCGATCAGAAGACAACACGTTTAAAAACCAACTTTCTTGTGAGTGCTTATGAGGAAAGCGAAGTGAGTTAGAAAGGACAGTTTGCCCAGTGGCCTGGTCACGCTGCCAGTATCAGCTGTGAACCCCTCACCTTTCCTATGGCTGGCCCCATGCATTTCCAGATTCTGCCTTTGATCATTCACACTGTATGCTTGTTTTAATAATGTCCTCTACTTGTTTGCTTATTATCAACTATCCTATTTGTGTACATCTACCAAAAACAGGGCCACATCAGAAAACTTCAAGTCAGTCATTTAGCAAGTATTTATCGGCCTTGTTTTTCCCTCATCATGGCTCAGGGGAATGTAAAGGGCTGAGGCTGATGTCCAGCTGCCCCTCTTGGGAGGAGTAGAGATGAGGTCTGAGTATCTTTACTCACTGCCTCTGGTGTTGCTGAGTGAGAAAAGGCTGGCTGGCTCCCCCCCCCCCCCCGCCCCCAGGTCCCATCGGCACCTCAGGACAGGGCTCAAGCTGGGACCTGAGACTCAGCTGCCTTACCGGCCCTCATGACTTACTCTCTGTCATCTGAGATAAGCTGAGGGGCCCCAACACTACTCACCTAGGGGATAGTGAAGAGGGCCAAGTTAAAACAAGGAAAGCAACTATGCATGGTGGCTCACATCTGAAATCCCAGCGCATAGGCATCTGAGTCAGGAGGATAGCCACACTGTGACATCAGTCTGGGCTCCTTCATGAATTCTAGACCAATCTGGGCTACAGAGGTGTGACCCTGTGTCAAAACAAGACACACACATACACCACTGAGGCAAGCATGGTGGCACACCAGCATTTGGGAGGTGGAGGCAGGAGGTTCAGGAGTTCAAGTCCCTCCACAACCACATATTGAGTTGGAAGCCAGCCTGGAATGCTGGGACCCTGTCTTAAAAAAATCAAAGGCACTTGGCCTGGGCTTGGGCCATGGCTCAGAGGTGGGACCTGTGGCTGATCTTACTGAGGCTCCTACATGGCTCTTTCCTTCTGTCTTCATATAAGGAAACTGGTGTAGAGAGGGGAAGTGGTTTGTCTGAGGTCTCTCTGGAAGCTAGAACCTTTGACTTGGGATCTCCACTCCCCCTGGGTCTCCATGACACAGTGCCTCTGTCTACTCACCTGGTCAGCCCCGAAAGACGTGAGGTTGCTCCTCACAGAGCTGGCAGCCAGCGCCAGGAGCAGCAGCACCAAGTAGAGGGTGGTCGCGCAGTAGGGGCTGGACCAGAAGCTTTGGCAGTCTCCGGATGGGCAGGCGGGTCCCAGCGGAAGCTCAGGCATCTCTCCGCAGAAGGATCTGCGACCATCGTCGGTGATGACAGTGAGCAGCAAGCCGGTGGTGGCCAGGTAGAGCAGCAGGCTGAGCGAGATAGCGAGGAAGCGGCCCAGGTACACGTCGGCCAGCCAGCCTCCCACTGGAGCCAGCAGGTAGGAGGCGCCCAGGAAGAGGAGCGTGGCCCGCGAAGCGTGCTCGCCCTCCCAATTGAAGTTCAAGCTGTTGAGGTAGAGCACGAGGTTGGAGGTGACCCCGAAGAACGCAGCTCGTTCCAGCAGCTGGACTAGCAGCATCGCGGCGACCGCTGTCCGTCTCCACCGTGGGGGGGCCCGCGAGCCTCGAGCCACCAGCGGTCGCCGCTCTCCGGACCTGCTTGGCTGCTCTCCAGCACGAGGAGCAGACATCCTGGGCCTCCTGTGACACAAACCCTCTCCTCTAGCCTCTCTTTTCCTCTAAATCGGAACGCTCTCTTTTCTCTCCCCTCGTTTCCCTCTTGTTTTCCCCTCAGGTCCCTCTGTTTGCTACCTAGATTCGATCTCCTCCTTAATTCTCCACTCTCTCCTTCCACTCTTCAATCCTTCTTGTTGCTCATCTCCCCTGTGCTTCTGCCCTCTCCTTCCCCCACTTCGGCCTTCTCTTCCCCCAAACCCCAGCCTGTCACCCCCGATTACTCCATTTCTCTACCCTCCCCCTCTTTCCTGCTAAATTCCCCCTTTGTCTGCCTTTTCTCAACTGTTGAACCGTCTTTTATGACACCTGGGTCTCAATGCACGCCCTGGCCCAGCCACCTCCTCCACACACTCCTCTTTGCCTGACTGCCTCCCTTCCTCCCAGTCCCCTCTGTCCTTCTCTCTCTGCTTCTTAAGAAACTGCGGACTTCCCCTTTCACTGGCCCTGGGGCTGCCTACGTCACCTAGTATTTAGGAGAAATGAAAGCCTGTGGGTTACAAGGGTCCCTCCTCATCCAGCTTCCAAAAAAATCTCCTTTCTCCTGGGCTGTTGTCGGCCCTCCTAGCCCAGGTCTGCCGGCTTTCCCAGGGCCAGGAAGGGACCTTCCTTTCAGTTTCCCTTCACCCCATCCCCCCTCCCATCCTAACGCAGCACCCTCTTCCACTGGAGTTTGCCTCTGTAGCTGGGATGAGGCAGGCAGACACTGAGGAGCATCTTCTACCCAGGGAGCCACCTTTGGAGGAAGTTCAGGATCCTTCCACACTAACTTGTGGTGATGCCAGTGAGATCAGCCCTGTGGAGCTGAGAAGGCCCAGATGTCCTTTCACAGACCCAGAGACAACCCCAGTAGGGGTGGGGAAGGGAGGTGGGAAATGACTGGATTCCGGTGTCTGAGCCCCAGGGTCCACCACTGCCTGTGTCGAGGGAAGTGCTCACATGCCCTTTGTATTGCAAAAGCAGTGGAGGGGAAGGAAGTGGCACCATATGGGAGCCACAAGAATGATGGGGCACTGACCTCAGACTCAATCACAGTCACCCCTCACTCACACCCCTCTGACCTCATGCAGGAGAATAGAGAAGAGCCAGCCACACCTTGGCCTACAAATTTAGAGGCACCTGACCCTGTCCTCTGACTGCGTCTCAACCCACTGAGTGTGGTCTGCTGACCTTTTAGCTCTCCTCTCAGCTGGCTCAGCGCCTTGCTTTGCCTATCCAAATAGACTCTTCCCTGAGACCTTTACGAGGCTACTTTCTCTTTATTTGGGTGTTGGTGAGAAGATCCCCCTTCCCAGGGGCCTTCCCAGATGGTCTGAGGTTAGCAGCCACCCGACTGAATTTTCACCGTCACACCCAGCAGGTCCCCCTGTCCCAGCTCAGCCTCCCTGGCTTACTTATTGTTTTGCACTCTGCCTTATGGGGGGAAAGACTCACTACTGGGGCAGGTGCCCTTGAGAATCATTTATTCCTAGTACTTCCCAGTGCTTAGCAATGGCAGCTGTTCATTAAGTATTGCTAGAATAAATGAATGCGAATGAGAGCAGCTTAAGCAGCAGGATTTGCAAGAATGACATCAGAAAGCTAAAATAAACAGAATTGCCAAAGCTTTAAACTTGTGTGTGTGTGATTTTCTTTTATTATTTTCTTTGCTTGCATATATATATAATTTTTATTTTAATTTTATGTGTTGGTGTTTTGCTTGCATGTATTTCTGTGTGAAAGTGTCATATTCCCTGGAACTAGAGTTACAGACAATTGTGAACTGTCATGTAGGTGCTGGGAATTAAACCCATGTCCTTTAGAAGAGCAGCCAGTGCTCTTAACTCTTCAGCTCCTGTTTGCTTGGTTTTTAAGGTCAGGCGTCAGGTTGGCCTGTAATTACCATGTATCTGAGTATGACATTGAACTTCTGATCTTCCTGCCTCCAACTCTAGACTACTAAGATTGTAGGCACATGCCACCATGTCCAGTATATTCGGTGTTGCTAATTAAACTGTGGGCCTTGGGCATGCTAGGCTAGCACTCTACAAACTGAGCTACATCCCCAGCATGGTTTTTATTCATTCATTTATTTTTAAATATATATTTCTTTTTATTTTAGATGTTTGAAAGTTTTACGTGTATGTATGTATGTATGAGTACCTCAGAGGTCTGAAGAGGGTGTCAGATCCACTGGAGCTGGAGTTATAGACAGTTGTGAACTCTTATGTAGGTGCTGGAAGCCAAGCCTAGGTCCTCTGGAAAAGCAGCCAGGACTCTTAATTTCTGAGCCATCTTCTCCAGCCTTTCAGGGCAGTTTTTAACATTGTATATCAGGGAAGAAGCCCAGCTGTGACAGAGGAGAGTCCATGGGAGCATATTGAGATAGGCAGAGACAAGGCCAGGAGTGAAGGCAAATACCTTAAACCCCAGAACTCAGGAGGCAGAGGCAGGTGTGTGTGAGTTCAGGGCCAAAGCAGACATAGCAAGAAGGGGGAAAAAAGATAGGCAGAGACAGAGGCTGCTCCTAACCAGCCACCTCTGCTTCTCTTGGAGGATACTTCAGGATCCTCTGACACATAACTCCCTCATTATCCATGGAGACAGGCAGAGACCAGAGATGACAAACCAGAGACTGAGATGTGGTGACACTCGCATCATGCCAGTCATCTTCAGGGGTCCACGAAGAGAGCGTTTCTCTTCTGCTGAGAAAAAGCAGCAGCAGAATGAGACAATCGGAGAGGCGGGGCATGATGGTGCGCCCAGCAACGTCAGGATCCTGAGTTCCAGCAAGGCCCTGGAGGTGTAGGGGAAAGGGAGAGAATGGAATGAGCACTCCCATTGGGAGAGGGGGCAAGTAGCAGAATGCAACCTTTTGATGCCACAGGGCAAGATTCAGAAATTTTGTTTTACTCCCTTCCCGCCGCCACCAGGAAAGCCAGATGCCTCTAATGGAGTGGAACAGAGCCGACAGCCGAGATTAAGGCTCCTTCCGGGTTTTCGGACTAGTCCAAACTCCATTGTTCAACCTTGGTGAAACCCTCCTGTGCCCACCCAGAGCGTCATCTCTTGCTCTGTTCTTTCTACCCTTCCTGGCTCACTCTGCCCTCTGCTCAGCTTCCAGCTTCAACTCATCTGCATCCTGACCCTTGCTGTTCCTCAAGCCTAGGACTAATTACTGTGGTCCCTCAGGACTTGACCCAGTAGTCACCTGTTTTGAAAAGTCTCCCCTAATTTCTCCAGGGAGGTTGGGCTAACCCTCATAGTCCCCCCGTGCTGACTTATGTCATACTATCTGCTCCTCTGTTTCTCCAAGGGACTAGAGACTTTGGGGAAAGGGGTTACACTTTCTTTTCCATGCTTCAGCACCTGGCGACCCGCATGAGGTAGCCACCTCCTCTCTAAGAGAACAAACACTGAAAGGTGACCAACTTGAAAACAGGTACAGCCAGAGAAAACTAAAGAAGAACCATATTTACACCGGAATTCTCTGTAATCGTCAAAATGAGATAACCTACTGTGGCTGGCATGTAACAGAGGGCCAATAGATGTCTACACCTTAATTAGTGTGATGATCAACTTGACACAACCTAGAATCGCTTGGGAAGAGAGTCTCCATGAGGGACTGTCTACACTGGATTGGCCTTCGGGCATTTCTGTGGGGATTGTGTTAATTAAGTTAGTCTGTGTGGGAAGTCCCAGCTTATTGTGGGTGGTGCTGTTTTCTAGGCAGGATGACCTAAATTCCATAAGAATAATAATAAGAAAAAAAAAAAAAACAAGCTGAGTACAAGCAAGAAAGAGGGCAAGTAAGCAAGCATGCCTGAATACATTTATGCTTCTCGGCCCTTGACTGTGGCTACAGCATGAACACCTGCTTTGAGCTCCTGCCACTGTGACTTCTCTGCTCTAATAGATTGTAACTGGATCCCAAAACATTGTTTTTCCTCCCTAGGCTGCTTTTTTTTTTTTAATGTTATTTTATTACAGTTAAAACAAATTAAACCAGAACAGAAATTTCAACCAATACATCTCAATGAGCTCCTACACAGCTAGAAATGACCATTTTGAAGCTACGTAGTTTCACTTAGGGTGTCACATTTTGGTTATCAGTTACATTTTTATGTACTTATCAACTACAAGAAATACTATAACAGGGTTTATAGCCACCTACAGAATGATAAAATTAGCTTCAAATCTTTCGTCTTATATAAAACTCAGTTGGAAATGGATCAAAGATATTAATTGAAATCCCCAGTTGCTCACACTTCTAGATGGAAGCACAGGGGACATTCTGTGATATTGTGGGTGGGCAAGGGCACACCAACAGCACAGGGATTATCCTGAACAGATGGGATCACGTGACGTTAAAAAGTCTCTCTGCACAGCAAGGGAAGCCATCAGCAAAGCAAATAGACAGCTCAGGGGACAGGGGAGAATCCTTACCACCTACACTTCAGGAACTGATATCCAGAATTTACGAAGAACTGCAGAAATCACATGCTAAGAAGATGAAACTTTCAATCATCAAATAAACTAGTGAAATGCTCAGTTTTCAAAGGGAAGAACATACATAGCCCATAACTGTTTTTGAAAGTGTTCAAAGTTCCCAGTCATCAGTTATATGCAAATTGAACTACCTTGAGATACCACCCACTCCAGCCAGAATGGCCATTGTAAAGAAATCTGACAACAAATTGTTGGGGAGGATGTGGGAAAAAGAAACTTTACCTACTGCTGGTGAGGGCACAAAGTAATGCAGCCATTGTGGGAATCAGTTTTGACATTCCTCAGAAAATTAAAAGTAGAATTACCATCTGACCCAGCTACCATCTGACTCCACAACCTACCACAGAGATACTTGCTCACCCATGTTAATTGCTGCTCTATTTCAGACAGCAAGGGAATGGAACCAATATAAATGTCTATCAACAGACCAGTGGATAATGAAAATGGTGTGTATGTAAAATGGAAAGTTATTCAGCTCCAAAAAAAAAAAAAAATGAAGTCATGAAATTTTTAGGAAAAAAAATGGGTGGACTTATAAAGTGTACTTATAGTGAGGTCATCCTAACTTAGAAAGAAAGAAAGAAACAACACATGTTCTCCCTCATACGTGGCTCTTATCCTATAATTCATACATGTATAG